GGGGGGGTAAACAAATTTGTCACATAACTATTTTTTTTTCTTTAAATCTAAAATTTTCTAATTTTGATAAAATCTTTATTTAAAAAGTTTTAAAAACATTAATATGAGTTTGAACTTGCCTCGGGTGTTATAGGTACCATGAAACTCAAGTTTTCTAATAATACTACATCTTAATCCGTTATTGGAAAATGTTAAAGAATAAAATAAAATCTTAGTTTAATTATGAAAATTTGATGTATGTTTTGATTTTTTTAGGTGCAACGTGACACGGGCGGGGGGGGGGTGTTAAAGAATTCGTGACCCTTCGAGGCAGGGGGGGAGGGGGGGTCTAAAAAAATGACATTTTCAGCGTGACGTTATTTACGAACGACCCCCTAACAAAAAGCAGCGCTTCAAATAACTGATAAAATATTTTATAAAATACACAGGTTTTTTAAACGTATGAGAAATACCCATGTTCGTATGGTTATGCTTTGTTATACGTCTATGGTGTGGTCGGTAATGAACGTGGACATGTCAATGACTTACAAAGCCATGCTGGGGTGGGATTCAAATATTTAAAAAAAAAAAAAACAATTAGCTGCCCTGATAACCGTATTAAACTTTTTAGTATAAAAAAAAAACAAACACGATAGGCCAAAATGTATTTATGGAGTTATTTATTAAACAACGATGTAAGTTTTATACCATACTAGATCACAGAAATGATTGTAAAAATATTTACTGAAAAACAAACAGAGCAATAACACACGCGAAGGAATAAAAAAAAAATGGACTGTTTTATTCACAGTATGATAGTTGGCTTTTTGGTGGGTTTTTTTTTTGGTTTTTAACAATTAACAAATAAATGTTACAATCTATGTTCCGTCAAATTTGATTCGTTTGAGGAAGGGATGACTATTACCAGGGGGGGGGGGCTTCTTGGAGCATGAGATTGTTTCAATGAACGTTACAATATTTATATTAAGAAATGTAAAATGTGTATTTTCCACTGGGGGGCCGCCAGTTTGCTGTTTACCGAACTCAACAAAGCATTTAGGAATCGGTCCTGCCAACGAACCGGTGCGAACCGGCCGAATCCCACCATTCGACCCTTGGTATGACCTAGAGAAAGAGGAATGTTTAACCGTAGAGATATTGTGTGTATTGTTTACGAAAGACTCAACGCATTAGTGTCATGCTGCTGTTTTTGATGAATAGCGAGGCTCGTGTTTGCGTTAAACAACCCCTAAAGACACAGTTTGTTGTATAAATCGTTTATAAATGGAATATCGAGCAAGGGGGGCGGGGCTAAAAATTCGACATAAAATGCGTATCCCGTATACAAGTAGTGCACTTTATAAAAATATTAATCAGTGCTTACCCCCCCCCCTCACCTGCCAAAACACATTTTTTTTAAAGGCTCAAAGCATTAGTATCATGCTGCTGTTTTTGATGAATAGCGAGGCTCGTGTTTGCGTTAAACAACCCCTAAAGACACAGTTTGTTGTATAAAACGTTTATAAATGGAATATCGAGCAAGGGGGGCGGGGCTAAAAATTCGACATAAAATGCGTATCCCGTATACAAGTAGTGCACTTTATAAAAATATTAATCAGTGCTTACCCCCCCCCCCCTCGACTCGCAAAAGCACATTTTTTTCCATGCCCCTGAACTCTATTAATATTCTAATGACCCACCCACTTTTACACCGCAAATTTATTTTACCAATTATTTCGGAAAAACCACAGAAAGTATGACGCACCCAACACACTTACAATAGATTTGTCAAGAATCCCATTTAGCCAAGTTTAGCGAAATCATATTTCTTTCATCTTCCCCTTGTAAAACAGGAAAAACTAATTCTGTGAAGTTGGGGGTTGGAGCTGAAAATTTGACAGAATGTGTTGTCATTGTCAACAACAGTCTATGTGCCACGTTAGAGCTCGATAGGTTGACGGGCAGTGGGTCAATTAGCCGTCAGAAGATTTTGCCAGTCAGAAACACACGAACAAAAGCAAAGTAATATTAAGGATTATAATAATAATAATATATATACAGTTACTGTCAACTAGATCTAATTCATTTATTTCCGAGTAATTTAGTAAAAAGTATAAAAATTGTTACTCTGGGTAAGTGAATAATAAACACAGTTATGTGTTGTAGTAATAACAACCAGTAAAGTGGGGTAGTTGGTTACCAACAGCGGCACAGTAAGGGGGTTTGAAGTGGAGGTACGCCCCGTGCGGCACTTTTCCCCCTTATATGAAAGAGCCACTTAGAGAGTCTTTACCTGTAAGGAGGGGCGGGAAAAGCCCTACCCTCCCCGGGCGGCTCCATGGGGTATCAGGGAACCTAATAAGGGCGTCATAGTTGGAAATTAAACTGGGTAATTTATTTTAAAGTAAACATTTATGCCAAAATTGTATGTAAATACAGCATTTCCTAAATTTTGTTTCGTTGAGAATTCAACTGTGTCCATTTTTAATTTTCACTCATCAAATTTTCAAACATTTTATTAAAAAAAAAGAAAAAAATTTCGATGGAAGAATTAACTTTATGGTAATTTCTTCAGTTCAACTTTTAGGTTAATATGTTGTACAGTAAATACGTTATGTTACTCTCGTAGTTGATAAACATTTAGAGTATCCCTGATGTACCGCAAAGTTCTGTTCTTGGTTGAAAAGAAATTACTTGCAGACCCTACAAATGCAGAAGTCATTGCAAATGTTTGGGGGCAGACCTTACAAATGCAGAAGTCATTGCAAATGTTTGGGAGCAGACCTTACAAATGCTGAAGACATTGCAATGTTAGGGGCAGAGCTTAAAAAAACCCAGAAGACATACATTGCAAATGTTAGGGGCAGACCTTACAAAAACAGGACATTGCAAATGTATAATTCCGTTATCTTGTGAGTAAACTAAATCTCAGGGCCATGTTTTCCACAATCCGTCATGGACACCTTTGACAAATATAGACCCATTATTTTCATTAGCAAGCAAATGTAGCGAACAACACCTAGACTGTTACTGGGTTTTTTTATATTCTCACCCTTGACTAAATTGTTATAGCCAACCCGAGATTTCGGCTCACGTGAGCTGTTAACTGGGTCAAAGGGAACACATTGGCTGCCGAAAAAATGTTTTAATTGATATTTGCGATTGTCAAATTAGTGCGGAGTGCTTTTATGTGAGAAAATGAGTCTGGTGTACACTATATAAGCCCCTGGGGTTGCTGTGTTTGTCACAGTCTTGTAGATCCGACAAGGAAAAGAACATTCAGACAAGATGAGGAAGGAACTGATCATTCTGGCTGTTGTAGTTTGTGGTAAGTATCTTTGGGAAAATATATTTATTTTCTTTGGGCCGCAAGACATAGATGGTGGGATCTTAGGGCAGCCAAAAACTTTTATTATCTTTGGGCAGCCAGACATATCAGTATCTTTAGGCAACTAGAAATATTAGTATGTTTAGGAATTCAGAAATATTTGTATCTTTAGGCAACTAAAAATATTAGTATGTTTAGGAAACCAGACATATTAATATCTTTGAGCAGCCAGACATATTAGTATCTTTGAGCAGCCAGACATATCAGTATCTTTAGACAACTAGAAATATTAGTATGTTTAGGCAATCAGAAATATTTGTATCTTTAGGCAACTAAAAATATTAGTATGTTTAGGCAACCAGACATATTCGTATCTTTGAGCAGCCATACATATTAGTATCTTTAGACAACTAGAAATATTAGTATGCTGAGGCAATCAGAAATATTTGTATCTTTAGGCAACTAGAAATATTAGTATATTTAGGAAACTAGACATATTAGTATGTTCAGGCAACCAGACATATTAGTATCTTAAGGTAACTAGAAATATTAGTATGTTCAGGCAACCAGACATATTAGTATCTTTAGACAACTAGACATATTAGTATATTTAGGCAACTAGACATATTAGTATGTTCAGGCAACCAGACATATTAGTATCTTTAGACAACTAGACATAATAGTATATTTAAGCAACTAGACATATTAGTATGTTTAGGTAACCAGACATATTAGTATCTTTAGACAACTAGAAATATTAGTATGTTTAGGCAACTAGACATATTAGTATCTTTAGACAACTAGAAATATTAGTATGTTCAGGCAACCAGACATATTAGTATCTTTAGACAACTAGACATATTAGTATATTTAGGCAACCAGACATATCAGTATCTTTAGACAACTAGAAATATTAGTATGTTTAGGCAACCAGACATATTAGTATCTTTAGACAACTTGAAATATTATTATGTCTAGGCAACTAGACATATTTGTTGTCGAAAACTTCCAGTTAAAACAGCTAGAAATTAAGTTTCTCTAGAGTCCTCGCCAGCTATTTATAAAATAAGAGACTCCAGCTTCTTCTTATTTTTAATTTCACAGCTTACATTCCTTCATGAAATATCTCTTCAAATTGTTGAGTTAAGTTTGATATTATTTGCTTCATTTACAAACATTTTCTTAACTTTTCGTTCATTTTAAAAGGTCTGCTTACAATACTGTCATTAAAAAAAAAATTCTTTAACTTAAAACTGTGTCAATTTAAATATTTAAAATTTTTTTTAAAAATTTGGGACTTTAAAGCCCAATAAATTCTAGTCATGAAACAAAATTCCATTTGAACTATTATTTAAAAAAGATGTCAGAAAGCTTTGAAATGTAAACAGTTGTGCACTAATCCTGTTTAATCGGGTGGCCGAGTGGTTTATACCGAGAAACTGCCCAACATAAGCCTGGACAGCTGGACAGGTAAAAACAACACTAGCCCCCCCCCCCCCGGGGGGAATGGACTCGTTAACCTTGGGTGGCAACTCCTTAAAGGGAAGACAAACCCTCAAAATAATAAACAGTTGTGCACTAATCCTGTTTAATCGGGTGGCCGAGTGGTTTATACCGAGAAACTGCCCAACATAAGCCTGGACAGCTGGACAGGTAAAAACAACACTAGCCCCCCCCCCCCGGGTGGAATGGACTCGTTAACCTTGGATGGCAACTCATTAAAGAGAAGACAAACTCTCAAATTAAACCCAGAGTTGGGAGACCCGTTGGCGGTATGACACAAGAAAAATTCGGACATTTCCTGCGATGTGGAACTCATAGGCTGGTCATCCACTGCATCCTGGTCTATTTCCAGTCGTCTTGACCATGTCTTGCCATTGGAAAAAATAAATAATGACGAGAAAGTGAGGCTGACGAATTGAGCTACACTCTCTCGATTTAAACGAAATACACCTCACGTCAAGGCTACTACTTAAGTTGAAGCCTTGGTCATACGTAAGCGCTACTCTCCCTCGATTTAAACGAAATACACCTCACGTCAAGGCTACTACTTAAGTTGAAGCCTTGGTCATCTACGTAAGCGCTACTCTCCCTCGATTTAAACGAAATACACCTCACGTCAAGGCTACTACTTAAGTTGAAGCCTTGGTCATCTACGTAAGCAACAATAATCATTTTTAAAAACTTTAAAACATTTTTTTGTCCCTACAGCCGTCCTGGCAGACAACTACTGGTGCCCTCAATCAGGGGAAGCCTTCGAATGTTTCGAGTCAGATCCAAACGCCAAATTTTGCCTGAATAGTGGAAAAACATCGGTGGTCATCTGCTCCAAGTGCAGGAAGAAGTACGAATTCTGCAGGTAAATAAAAAATAATGTATACATTTAACGTCCAGATATCCTTGCTCAGAATAAAAATATCAATTAAAGAATACATTTTTCTTTTCACTCTCTCTTTTTAAGAATCCTTTAAAAATATTAATTAATAAATAATAAAAAGCATCAAATATCTGGGTCCAATAACAATTACTTCATTACATCGGTTAAAGTTTGTTGGCAATTTCGAGGAAATTATACAGCCACCTTCCTGTGTAAAATGTGTAACAGAAACGTGCTGAATTGAATTTGAAGCTAAAATGAATCAATTTTTGTATCTTGAGGTGCTCAACATTACCCCAAGCTAAATAATGAGCAACTTTGATCAAAACTGTTCTTTTAATACCAGTGACGACTCTTTCCTTCCTCGCCCCGTCACAAAGGATCACACACATTGTTGTGATAGTCCAACTTTTGCCCCTTTCACCTTTTATAGCATTCTAGAAAAACGGTGAAAATAATTTTTTAATACAATTAATTTCATTAAGATATACAAAATTAATCAAATTTTTTGTAAATTTAAATAAAATCCACTGACTGTTGACCAGAAACGGCCTTAAAGTATCCAAGAGACCCGAGTATGATTGTGGAGCTGGCTGGGAGAGCACCCCGTGCACTGGGGACAACAGTGCTGTCCCCGCTGTCTTCTAAACTTGGAAGGTATTTGCCGATATTAATGTTTTTTTTTAATAAATCAATATTTAAATTTAATGAATTCAAAATTTGTTAACTGCTACTTTTGAGACACAGATGAACGCTTCACTGTAAGGCTATTTATTAAGTAGTTCATTTGTTTGTAATACAATAATACCCAAAATTATCTCCTTGTACTATATCAAATATCAGTCATAACATTAAACAAAAAATATATTTTTTAATTCACTGACATATACTTTTCTAATACAAAATACACAACTTTAGTTGAATTGAGCCCTCCAGTTCTGAACTGATTTGATTATATGTTTGTTTCAGAATATTGCTCTCTGAGAAATACGATGAAAAACTGGAATCGTTTTCCGTCTCCATTTCATCGGTTCGCTGTAAATTTTGTTACTATTTAATTGATTGTTTGAATGTAACCAATTAAAAATATGATAAATAACTTATGAAGATTTTTTTTTCTCAGAATGTCTTGCGTTTTCTCATCAGAATGTTGTAAGCGATAGAATGATCTTTAACATCTAGGTCCTCCTCTAAATAAGAGTGTTTTTTTCTGTTTATAAATGTAACGGGTGCTCTGGGACAAGCGGTCTGAACTGAGTGAATCCAAAAAAAAAAAAAAAAAAAAAAAAAAAAAAAAAACAGCTGGTTGTCTCTAGTTTAATCCTCCCCAAAACCTACGCAGTCAAAAACGTCCCCAGCACCCGGGTCGGATGGGAACCGTTAACCTTGGACGCCTACCCACCTAAGAGAAGGCAAACTCTGAATTCAAACCCGGAGATGGAGTCTCTTAGGCGGATAACCTTGACACAATGAAATTTCCGGGAAGTCCTGCGACCCTTATGGTGCCAAGATAATGTATAGTCCACACATGATGTTCACCTGGGTTATCCACAATCGTGGAGAGGTCATTCGCTGTCCGAGGAACCAGCTTATCCTCCTAAAGTTAAAGAAAAAGCCCATCTTGTGATTTCGTCCTGTGAAGTCTACACCATCGTTACATTGTGACGGACGGATGCCAGGAATAAATTGTTATAAACATATTGTATCTCACAAATACGTTTGGGGGATTTAAAATAACGTATTACAAAATTACATTGCACTGTTTTTATGTGAGTTTTTTTTAAAGATTAAAATTGGTTCAAATTAATAATCAATCTTGAAATGTCTGAAGCATCCGAGACAATCTTTGATTGGTTAGCATGCCGATATGTGAGGAGTCCAATTGCAAACCCTGCTAAGTCGATTTTTTGAAAAAAATTAGTTAGTCCCCTTGGCTCATCTATGAAGTGCTATTTCACAATATTTTACTAGTTTTTAAAATCAAAACCCGCTAAGTTCGCTTATTTCGCAATTAAAAAACGGAGTGGCTATAATAGCAGCAACTGACTATTCGGATCCGGCTGGTCACTTGAGGTCTTTAGATATTCGGTTGGTCACGTGATAGTTATGAAGGATACGTCCTGTTGGTTTGCCATGCCATCTTAGAGCAATTATTATCAATCGAGAAATGTGCACCATTTTGAAGAATTTCAAGAAACGTGAAGAACAATTTGCGTACATCTAAAAGCAAGTAATAATACGTTTATGTTTATAATTTTATTGTATTTTTAAATTCTATTTTAAATATAGTTCTATAATCATTAACATGACATCAATCAATATTCAAGATCGAATTTGCTTTTTTTTTTTTTGCAGCAAATCGGCTACTGTCTTATCTGTAATTGTAATGAAAAGTTTGGCTGCCGCTATTCGGACCCGGTATCAGATTTTAATTCACCGCAAAAATTATTATTATTCACTTTTCCCATAAAACAAATGTTCTTTTGAATAAAAAAAAATGGCTACAAACAATTCAGAGAGATCAACCCGCGGCCGCCATCTTGGTTATCGTGACCCACGAACTTATGTCCTAAATGTATCCCTAAACTAACCTGAACCCTAAATGTATCCCTAAACCTAACATGAACCCTAAAATGTATCCCTAAACCTAATCAATCTGAATTTGCCTAAAAAACTTTTAATTCAAAAATTATTATACATTATTTCACACTTCCAATAAAACAAAGGCCGGCACTATGTACACCGCGGCGGTGTACCTAGCGAAACTATTGACTCTGGCCTGCGTACACCGCGGCGGTGTACCTAGCTAAATCATTGTCTGTGGCCTGTGTACACCGCAGCGATTTCAAGTAGCCAAACTATGGTCTTGGCGAGTATTTAACTTTTTGGCCTAACCGGTACTTGTAGATTTAAGGTTATACTCGTGTTAAAACTGAAAACTATTTATTTAAAATTCGTTTATTACCTTGGGAAGATATTGAGTAAGTTCCACACTAATGTGGCAAAGTACATGTAAAGCATTTCTTATTATTTTTTGGAAGGGAGGGGGCTGGGGGTGTAATGTTAAACCATGATTTATTTTTAAAGTTAACCACATTATTCCCCCCTCCCCCCATATATTGAAATAAAAATATATTTATTAATTGTTGTAAGTTTTATCATATGATTGTGACTCTTAATGGGCATAAAAAGGTTAGCTAATTTGAAATTATTCTCTCATGCCCCTCCTCACCCAGTTGTTTTTGTTTTTTTGTGGTTTTTTTGTTGTTTTTTTTTGGGGGGGGGGTGCATTATAAATATAACATTGTATGTGATCCCTCAGGGCGTGGTGTAAAAATGAACGGGAAGACAGTGAATCTATTTTGTTAGCACCAAGATATAATTACGACACAAATACACTACGGGAAGAGAATCACATACTCATACATTGATCATGAAGTCGTGAAGTTAAAGTTGTCCGAGGCATTGTCATTGTGATACCAAGCATGTGTCAACACAAAACAGGCAGTAAGATGATAAAGACGAAACACTGCAGTGATTTTTAAAGGTCTTTTAACAATAATTAAATATCATTGATTTAGTTTTACATTGGCTTTACACATTAGTAAAAAATGCCGGCGGAAAGGGGGGGGTGCAAAAGGTAAGTTTGTTGTGCGGACGTCCTTTGTGGACAACCCTTATCCAGAGCCGTGATTTGTGAATGGCCCCTTTTTGGTTAAGCCTCTGCCCATAACTCATCACCCCCACCCCCCAACACCCCCCCCCCGGCAAGGATCGATTTCTTAACAATTAAAAAAAATATTTTAAAAATACAAAAACGTTGACATAGCGCCAATCCTGCCGGCCAAGCCCATTGTGCAATTGGTTTCTGTGAGAAAACGTCGTGTTTTACCCTGAGAATAGCACATGCCATCCCATTCTGGAAACAAATT